TGGATGTGATGGTGTCTTTGTTGGTTCAGGGATTTTTAAGAGTGGTGATCCTGCTCGTCGTGCTCGTGCTATTGTTCAAGCTGTGACTCATTACAGTGACCCTGAGATGCTTGTTGAGGTGAGTTGTGGACTTGGTGAAGCTATGGTTGGGATTAATCTCAATGATCCAAAGGTTGAGAGGTTCGCTAGTCGCTCTGAGTGATGGATGAAGAAAAAAGAGGTAAAATTTGAGACTGGAATGGTTTTTTAAGAGTTTCTTTAAGATATTGTTGGTAGTTTGTATCCTTTGTGTTTTTCATTATATCTTTGATAGTTGTTGTCTTATTGTAATCGAATTTCTTCCATTTTCAAGAACAAGTTGTCAGTTATTAATAATTTGCTTTACTCTCTCTCTTTGATTTGTTGATTTTGAAATGATGTTGAAGCTTGTGGGAACTTATTGTTCAATTAGATGTAGGTGGTATTAGATTCAGAGAGCTTCGTAGGATCAGGTGGGTAAGAAAGGATGATACTTGTTTGATTTGGTATTGAGATCATCCTCATACATTGGTACTGAGCTCTGTAACTGTTTGAGTATTGAGTTTGAATTGGAAAAACCATCCTGGATTCGACTCAGATAGCCTCTAGGACTTCAAACCATAGCAGCCTCACAGAGGAAGATAATATGACTTGGTTGTTTTTGGGTTATTGAGGCTCTAGGTGATATAGGCTTACCGGAGTTTCGAGTTTTCTGATTTGGGGTCTTTTCGTTTCTGGAGAGTAAGGATAGAGATCGATGGTTTTCATGATTTGTGCATTATGACTTATGGTTTCTTTGCATGCTATATTTGCATTCTAAATCGGGTTTTTTGAGAAATGCGATGTTAATGCGAGTCCATGGGAACTTCGTAGCTCTGAGATTTCAAATGTCACGCGCAATACGACACATAACAATTATCGATATCCATGAAGCTTTGCTTCAAAACTGAGTTCTTGAAGTTCTTAACACAACAGTGTTGTGCTTATGTATATTCCTTCTTCGGCCTCTAAAAGCTCTTGGCTCTATTATATTACTGCAGTTAACAATTTCTCATCCGTGAATAGACCGAACTGCAACTAAATAAACCGGGTCCAACTTTCACCAAAGTGAATACCAAAGCATTTTGAACCAAATTAGTTCCGGATTATCTGGGCATTACAATCTGTGTGTACTCTACTCACATTTGAAGTCCTTTTGGTTTTGGGATTTGTTGCACGCCACTCGCATTTTGTCCGAAAAGACTCCACCAGGACCACAAAACACGGTTTAAAAGTAGTAATCCGTAATTTAGATCTTAAAATTTCGTAATCATTCCAAATGGGCCAATCTACATTAATAAATTACAGGCCCATTAAATAGTTTTTAATAGCTTCTCTATAAATAACAAAAATGAGGGACCATTCAACAATTTCTTAGTTTCCTCAAACGACGTCGTGTCGCTGTTTATTACTTTATTTGTCTCTTTTGGAAAAGACCTCAAAATTGGAAATCAGTTTTTAATTTGTTCATATCAGAAACAAAACGAATCTCCATCGACCTTCTCTCTAAACCCTACGCTACAGAGAGAGATGAGTTTCGATTCTTTATGCTTCCGTCGAAGCTCTACACAGTAATTTAACCTATAATGGTGGGAATCATGGCTTCGTATTCAAGAGAAAGGCTTGAAGGTCTCGCGAGTTCCGCCATATCATCCACGGAATTGCCTCCGAAGCTTCACCGCTTGCGAAATTTGCGGCGGAATTTGCAAGGAGACGCATCCGTTTTCCCCAACGAGCTTCTTCCTCGCCTCCTCGATTTTCTCTCCGATCCCTTCGGTGCTGTCCGCAAGTTTGTCGCCGAGTAAGCTCCGTTTTCCTGGTGATATGTTTCTGCATGAATTCGGATTTGTTTGTAATCACACAGATATAAATGAATTTCATGAGTTTGGATGATGCAATTGTTGATTCTTTGTCTTCTTATATCTGCTTGTTGTTAATCCTGAACAATATCTCTCTTTAGGGAGTGATTTTTTTAAGTGATGGTTTTTAGTGTACGTCTTACTCTCATAAGCTTGCATAAGGGTTCCTTTACGACTAGATATAATCAAGGACGTGTTTCTTTATTGACCTAGGGAATTTATATAACTCGCTGAACCAATGATGCTATTTCAAATGCAGGATACTTGGTGAAATTGGATTGAAATATGTGGAATTATTACCTGAAATAGTGCCCCTTTTAATTAAGTCTCTCAAAGATGAGACACCAGCTGTGGCGAGGCAGGTCATAGCTTGTGGAGTTGATTTATTCCGTTCCACACTCGAAAGAGTGGCAGTTCAGGTTGGTTTTTATTTTTGATTTTTAGTGATCTGTATGTCCTGCATTTGTTTACGTAGATCTCTTCTTATTGCTATTTGGCTGTCTTTTTTTCGTTCCAGGGTTTGCATTCTAGTAAGTTAGATGAGCATCTTGAATCTTCGTGGATGTGGATGATTAAGTTCAAGGATGAAATATGCTCATTGGCTTTCAAGGTGGGAATTTTTGCTTTCTCTAATTTCCTGA